GTGTTTAATTAATTAAACTAAAGCTGATAGTAGCACAACAGCAGCACTGTTCCAGTCTTCTGGTGTTTCTCTCAGAGTTTATGGTTTATTAAAATTTCACATCAAACAGACAAGATCTCTTTGGAATTTTTGGCTGCAGGTTATCTGTGTTTGTTTTAATTTCTACTTAATATTATTCACCATTATCCCTAATGACTAGCGGATTAGCAAGTATTTAATCACACTCATTTGACAGAACCTTGCTATGTTCCCTTCAGATATATACCAGATGTGGTATGCTATCTGCTATGCCTGCTTCCTAATTTTTTCATACTTACCTTTTACCATTTGGGTAAAACCATGTAGGACCTATAACACTGTTAATGTACTTGAAAATATCTGTCTTTTTAGTGCTACATTATCCTTAAGAGCTGTTGGTATTTAAACTTCCTTTTAACAATTTTTTTACTCCCTACCTTTGAATTCTGATGATTTATGACTAGATTTTTTTCCCATATATTGTATTTCCTTTCTCTTCTCTTTGCTACTGTTAAAGATGAACTTACAGCAATACCTGTCTTGTTACTGAATCTTCATTATTGATCTAATAAATGTCTTAAAAGTTGTGGTCTTTCTTTGCAGAACTTTATGCTTCCTTTTTTCCACATCTCACTTAAAATTTTCTCAAGCTTTCATAAATTGGCACTTTCAAAGTACCAAGTACACAGATTAGTTCCAGGAACTCTCCTCTCTTACCAGTAATGAATACCAGGTACTGGGATTGTTCAATATAGAGAAAAGGAGGCTCAGGGGAAACCTTACCACTCTTTACAACTAATTGAAAGGAGGTTGTAACGCTTTGGGTGTGAGTCTCTTCTCCAAGGTAACAGGCATTAGGACAAGAGGAAATGACTTCAAGTTGTGCCAAGGGAGGTTACGAGTGGATATTAGGGAAAATTTCTTCACTGGAACAGAGTGCTCAGTGGGGTGGTTGAGTCACCATCCCCAGAGAAATTTAAAAGCTGTGTAGATGTGGCACTGACGGATGCAGATTAGTGGTGGACCTGGCAGTTGGACTCGATGGTTGGGTTTGATGATCTTTTGATGAGGGTCTTTTCCAATCTGAATGATTATGATTCTAAATGGTATGAACTTTCTGAAGAGATGCATACATAAGTGCATATGTGCCTAGTTGATAGCTGATGTTTACTGTGTAGTCATGGTCAAGTAAGCATGACTAAAGGACCCAGCTCATTGCAAGGACAGATCCCAGCAGGAAAAACAAAGGACACCCCTGAACTGATTAGAGAAGGCCGGCACCCCAGCCCTTAAAACAATTCTCCCAAACCCTGCTGTTACCTTGTGACACAGTGCAGTACCTGCAGCCGGACAGACGCTGGGGATGTTTCGCTCAAGACAGCAGCTGATGGACACTAACAGCACCATAGATGCAGAAGGTATTTTGCAGAGCAGCAGTGTGTGTGTGTCTGTGTATGTGTCTGTGTATATGTCTGTGTACGTGTGTCTGTGTGTGTCTGTGTGTGTCTGTGTGTGTCTCTGTCTCTCTGTGTGTTCGTGTGTGTGTCTGTATGTGTGCGTATGTGTGTCTGTGTATGTGTGTGTTTTTGTGTGTCTGTATGTCTGTGTGTCACTGTGCGTGTATGTGTGTGTGTGTGTTTGTGTGTGTATCTGTATGTGTGTGTCTGTGTGTGTGTGTCTGTGTGTGTGTGTGTGTGTGTCTGTGTGTGTCTGTGTGTGTGTCTGTGTGTGTGTGTGTCGGCACACAGCTGCCCGTGTGGGGGCTTCGCAGTGAGGGGAGACGTCCTGTTCTACTTGAGCAGTCGAAGGGTATTGGAACCAAGAGTAGCAATGCGTCTGGGGTCCCCCAACTGGAATGGGCCACTCAATGCCCACGAGAAGAGACTTACTCTTGCCACGCTCTCATACACATCTCAGCCTCTCTCCTGTGCGGCCACCAGCCGAGTGTGAAATGTTGATGACACTGTGAGACGCGGAGCAGGTACCTGGCAGCAGCAGGAGGAGAAAGAGTTTGCCGGAGGGGAAGGAGCGGGGAGAGAAGCGCGGAGGCAGGCGAGGGGCTGTGGAGGTCGCGCGTGGCTGCAGCTGAGGCGGGGGGCTGGTGGGGCTGCTGCTGGTGGGGGCTTGCTGGTGGGGCTGCTGCTGGTGAGGCTGCTGCTGGTGAGGCTGCTGCGCAACGAGGGTGGGCTGGCGAGTGTGTGGCGGCAGAGCGGAGCCAGCGTAAGGCAGGAGTCGGGTCCGGCGAGGCGTGGGAGGTTGAGCTGGCCCGAAAAGCCCGGGTTCGATCCCCACTGTCACCTGGGTACCTCGCCCACCTGCCTGTGTCTCTGGTCAATGCCTCGCCCCCACGGGCAGCTCTGGCTTTCCCCATCAGCCTGTCAGGAGCCCGAGCCGAGAGGCTTTGGGCCCACTTTCTCTTGTCTCCCGTTCCCACACCATTCCCAAGTTGCTTCTGGTCTCTTAACCACAGGATTTACGATTTTCTCATAATCCTTGTAGCCTGTGAAACCTAATACCCTTCAGACAGTAGAAAGCTATAGCTGTACTCAGCTGTAAGGTATCAAAAAAGTCAGGCTCTTGTAGAAAACACCTTTAAAATAAACTTGTTTAATTGAAATTGCACACACACACACAAAAAGATCAATATACAACTTGTAGTTTTCATTAACATCTATGAAATTACAATTGTTTTACAATATCTTTCTGAAAATTCTTTAAATAGGTAAGCATTATCTGTAAGACTATGGCCCCCTCAGATATCACAAAATGCCTGATATGCTTGCTACGCCAATAGAAATGTGCATGTACCTATAGAAAAATATACTTAAAAGTGTTTGCACCTGTCTCTGATGAAAGATGTAAAATTGTGTGGCCTGGCACTTGCTTTGTGTTAAATTCATTATGTCACTATCTATATATACCATTTTCTAAGTGTCACAGCTCCTGAATTCATATCTAGGTAGTATATGCACAGATACATTCTCAAATTGTGTTCTCATTAATGACAACCTTGAAGTCTTGGCAAAATGCCTCAGACTTCACCTTTTTTATTATCAAAGGAATTTTTAGTAAGTGGTGTGATGTATTCCCCATTGTTGTTTTCCCAGTGTACTTTTGGCCTAAGTCAAATAGTTTTCTACAAAGTCTCCTCCTCCAGCAACAGTAACTTCAGTGTGTGTTTCACAGTCCAGTGTCCTGCTTGTTCTCACTGTAGACTTCAGTATATGGCTAATGGCCATCCTATCATCACCTATTTCTTTTCTCACCACTAGAGAAATCTTAAATTTGGAAGCAACTTATGCAGTGTAAAAGGTGTTTTAGGAAGGTATCTTCCTAAAGAACATAGCATCTACATATCAAATCCCCCTTGATGTCACAGGCTTGACGTAATTAAAGGCCCACAGTCAACAGCCAATGGTCATATTCATAAACCTATTGGGCACCTGTAGGCTCTAACAATATGACTAAAAACTATTGTCTGGAATGTAAGTGCACAATGTCATCAGTATTCCCGGTTCCTTTGGGAGGGTGTTTTGTTTTTTATTTTTCCAATAAAAGTGAGCGGGAGGAGGAAAAAAACCCAGAAAGTGAAAATGGTAGCTCTGTAGCAGAGAAATTCTTTTGCACTAAAGCAAAGCAGACCTGCTCTTGCTTTGATTACAGAAACATCAGACACCAAGACTTTCTGTTAAAATTTCTACTCTTTAGGACCCTTGGTTCACAGGTGACACAGCATTCCACAGTGACAGATGTACACCAAATAGGAATTTCCATGTACTCATAAGAATTTTAAATAATGCCACATTGGCCTAAGTCAACCTGCTCAAGATAGACTGCTGTCAGTGATGGAAACAAACACTTTATTTACTAATACTTCAACTTCTGTCACTTACAGAACTTCAACTAGCAAGTTGTGTTTGGAAATTTCAGATGATCAGCTCCAAAAGAAGCCTCTTCTGAGAAGTAGATTTCTTTTTCAGAGATGTCACTGGAGTAGAATTTTTACTCAAAAGACCTTCAGGTAGAAAATTTTCCTTCTCCATCTATTTTCCTTCTCCTAAAATGTGCTGGTCACAGAATTACTGAAAGCAAAGACTAAACCTGGATGAATAGACTGCAGAAAATGAAGTCTGTAGCAGCTAAACTTGTATGCCTTTTCATTAATTTCTGGTGGCAAAGACCTGTCTCTTTACGTGTTGTGCAATAGAAGACTAAATAAAGGTCACACCTGTGGCTCTCTAAGAGATCAAATCAGGACATTTAGTGATGGAGATCTGGGGAAAGGATTCAATTTTCTGGTTTTGTAGCCTAGGGTAACACAACTATTCTTTCCTATTTCCAGTAGAACAACTGAAGAGCGAAGAAGTAAAAAGACTATCTGCTAAGACACGGAAGCCATAATATTATTTTCTACTGGGAAGACAAACCAAATAACTAAATTATGCATATTTTACAGGTAAACTAGCAAAATTAGTTTCACTTGCATGATTGAGGATGTAAGGTTTGCCTTCCATGCCTTGCAGCATTACACTATTCCCCTCTGTTGCAATTTGGAGGTGTCCATTTTGAGCACTCTGCAATAATACATATTACTCAACTCTTGAACATCAGAGTAGGGGAGAAAGAACTTTTAACCTGCATTACTTTGTAATGCAAAATGTTTAAAGAAGTCTCAGTTATGCTAACAAAGTATCTCAAACCCAGGTTTGGGTTTTTTTTCCTATTAATCTTGAACAAGTAAACAGACACCCAACAACTCACAAATGGTTTCTCAGTTTACATAAGCTTTTCTCTGCTTAGGAAATTTGTTGTGCTCATTTACACTCTACACCATCATCTAGGATGAATCCTATATTTACCTTCTAGCTGTATAATGCTTTGCTCTTCTGGTTTTAAACTGAGGATTACATTTTGCTATCTACAGTGGAGTTGCTTTTGTTTCATATTAGCAGAAATGAAATCAGCATGTATGAATGTGAATATATATCAAAAGAGAACTGTTTAATCCATAACCACAGAAGTCTTCCACTTGCAGCACCATTTCTATAATTTCTTACAAGAGATTCAAACAACTTCTAGACCATATTAAATATCCATTAAGCTGTTTTTACAGATATTATTTATAACATTATTTGAACACTTCCAACATCCTGCAAAAGAAAACTGATGTCTTCTTAGTACCAACACAGCCTGTTGCAATTTAAGACAAATAGCTCCATCAACTAAATTATAATCATATTACTGATTAATGTGTTAAAAGATTGTTATGCAAGGGAAGTATCAAATTTGACCATGTTTATATCTTCTGCCTCAATTACAACCAGGTTGCTTAACTTTGGTAAAGTGAGATAGGTGATGTTCTAAAGCACTTGAAGAAAAACCCTGACAGCGGATATTACATCAGTCAGTTTCTCCAACTAAAATAAATCAGGTTCTCCTAAGACATGCTGAGAAAAGTAGACATCAAGACAGTCACAAAAACATTATTCCGCCTTTCCAAAATCAGCATTTATAATAAACCAAGTATTTTGCAGTATATGGTAACAAATGAACTAATCTCTAGTATACAATAATCACACTTGAGTGCACAATAACTGCCAGCTGTTAAGAGACTCCAGATACTTCATTGTGAGATAAATGGAATTTTATTTCTAGGGAGTGATTCTTCTTTATAATAAATGTATAAAAGTGCAATATCTTAAATATTTACTGCATGCAAGTAATCTTCTCGTTGTTTTTAGCATCATATAAAGTAATCTTATGCAATAATCTCCGCAAGAATACATTTGAACTTACAGTCGAATTAAAGCATCTCTTCAGTTGAGTGCCAGCCTAATCGTTGCATTAACCACCCCATATAGGACTGTAGGAAAAAAACCAAACTTTCCGTAACATCCTGGCAAACAGTTCTCTATTGACAATGCGAAATGACATACTGAAATGGCTTAATTAGGCTCACATTTGCCTACTACATCCTTCAGCTGACTGCATTCCGACTATAGTGTTACAGTTTTGTTTTCTTAAATGCCTGTCCAAAAGGCTAATTGGATCTGCCCCTGATTACAGGAACCTTCTGAAGCTGTTCTTACTCACAATTTGTCTTTAATGCAGCCAGTATAATCAATTCTGTAATGACTACCAGAACTGAATCTGGTAGGTCAAGTAACCTTCTCTTTATGGCAAGCAGGATAAAAGAAAGATACAGAAAAATAATCAAAACAAAAAGGCAGAAGGAACATTAAACAAGATTAAGCAGAAATTGTGTTCCTCTTCAGCTGTATTACACATCCTCATTTGTTGAATTCTATCAGATCAATTTACATTTAACTCACAAGGATCAGAAAGTATTCCAGAGTGTACATACATAAAGCAATACTGTAGAAGTATTTTCTTTTGATGGCAGGAAGCAATTAATCAGTGTGATAGACGAGTGTGAATGGAGAAGGAAGGAGTGCATTGGACAAGGACACAGCAAACCTTGAATGTCATGCACAGCAGCACAGCATTTTAAATAAGATAGAAAACTTCCATTTTTTAAAGATCTTACTGGAAATGAACTATTTTTTCTTCCTTTTTTTTTTTCACCCTGTGAGATGAATGAAAGCCCAATTCTTGTATTTCTCCATCCTTAACACTAAGGGTGACTTGTTGGCATCAGTCTGACTACAGTTGCATTTACTTCATATACATAGAAACTGGTGTGAAACTTTAAAGTGGAGTAGGAAAGAGTTCTCCTTTTTCTACAATTTCATTTTCTTCCCAGATAAAAATGCAGTCAAGACCTTTCAAAGTGAAAAGTGCAACCCTTCCAAGCCAGAATAGCTAACAGCCCCCAGACTGCATAAAATGAAGGTTTTAGATACTACAGGACTAGGTTTAAAAAGGGAAAGAGTGTTACTCCTTTTTTTCTTCATTTCTAAGCCTTTTGGCCACACAATTCTACCTCTTCCACTTAGTCAGCTTAGCACTTATTGGAAATATTAGTCAGCCAAATCAGCTGACACCCCTGAAAATTAGATTAGTAAAGCAATCAAACAAGAAGAGGGTTTGGTTTTTTTTTTTTTTTCACTCAGCTCATTGGCCAAGCAGGAAGGCTGAAATAAGGGAGAGGAAAAATTCCCAGCAGTTGAAAACTGGGAACAGAGGCCTCAGAGGGTAGCTCTTTTTTGTAGCAATGAGCTATGAGTGGGGCAGGTGCCTTGATGTCAGATACTGATACCACACGTGCTACTGAGGAGCCGGCAACTGTGTATTTTGTGGTAGTCTACAAATACTCTCGAACTCCTAGGAGTTTGGAACAGTATCCTACAAGTGCTCAGCAATCTGGTGAGATGATTGTAATGATCTGATGGCAGGTTTTAATCACAACTATGCACAATTTATCACACAGATAGTTTCTACTTTTATTTCACATATCCAACAGTCACCACTGACACTGTATTTTGTTGGCATTATCGTCACTGAGACATAAAGATAAAATAAATCCTTCCCTACTGATTCCTCTCCCTTACATTCTGTAACTGGAAATTAAAATGAGGAATCATTCACTCAAGTCCTTGCTTAGGTAAACTGTTTGCACTCTGGGAATCTTACTTAAACCATTGTGATCATGTAATAGAAAACAAACTAATTTTTGCAACTGGCCTGAACTTCTATTTCTTCAGTAATGAAGACAGGAGATCCACTGATTGTTGACAAAGTATGAGCCAAACTCCTGAGAAGTAGCTCATAGGCATCTTTCCCTTATTCCTGCCACGGCACAGGTGAACAAGATGACCTAAGGAACATCTTGCTCTTGCAGTACTACTGCAATCATCCAAAATCTTTAAGAAATTCACCTGTCTACACAGTCTGAATTTTCTAGTAGTAAGGTATGGGGTTTATTTCTTCTCACCCCCCATTTCTGAGTTTCCATTGTACACAAGCCAAAAAAACTCCAAACCTTTAATAATACTGTCAAATTACCATCTCCACTGTAACAAACCTTAAAGGTTTTGAATGTCTGGCTGTAACAAAGATATTCTGGAAATTTAAATATTTAGACAATGATGATGGAGCACACATAATTAAAAATTAATTGTGGAGTAACACATCTATCCACCATTTACTATAACAAGAAGCACTTTGGGAGAACAAAAAGCCCAAACAGTATTTCAGAAAAACTAAATTTCAGGAATGAAGATACTATAGTACGAAGGTATTGGCCAAAAATACTGTATTTTTAACCAGCAACATTTTTGAGGGGCAGTAACTGTACGGTATTAGTTTTTCAAAAAAACTATTTCTGTCCCTCAAGCGACACACAATACATGCATTTAAATGACACTTTAAGAACAGCAAATATGATATTTATTTTTAAATACTCAAAGTTTTAAAATGCATCTGACACTCCTCCCTAAAAAAAAAAATTAAAACTGGACAAATAAGGATTTCCTGCAGCATGGTGAATGAGAAATCCAGCAACAGACTTAAACTGTATTTTGAGAGAAAAAACCCCCGAATCAACAGATTTACATTTACCTTGATATGGCTGGCTTTATATTTTTGACAATATTTTCAAAATCTCTCTTTTTTCCCTGCAGTATGGCTACTGTGAAAAAGCTCAAGTGAAACACATGGCAAAATCCCTTTAACCAGCTAAATCTTGACCTCATTGCATTGACTACATAGGAAAGTTTCTTGGTTGATTGACAGAACTCAAAACGTTATGGGTAATCAGAAGTCAAAACAGAGGAAGTATCAGCAGCTCCACTTCTCAAACTAAATGTGTTGCTTTGCAAGATCTCTACTAAACTAACAAACCGGACAGAGTCAGATGACTTTAGTTGTTTAAAGCCTGTTAAATTTTAGAATTTATGGTTTATATCAAAAGAGGGACTGGATCGCCTTTGCAAAATCTCAATTTCTAAAATATCATGGTTAATCACTTATACTAGGACATTTAAATTTCCTAACTTATGTCGGTCTCTCCAAAACATATTTATTTTACTGATCACTTAACTAGAGGTAGGTCATGTGTAGGCCTTGTTAATATGCTGTGAACACTTCATTAGTTCACTAATGTAATAGTCTGCAGGAAAACCACGCACAGAGCTCCAAAAATAGCAGCACATAATAATAAATTATTGTCTAAATTTATTTTTTTTCATGTGGGTTAACATGTCCATGTCTTCTCCTAATATTTTATTCTTTCGTGAAGAATGTTTAACAAGGAAAGGGTCATGAGGTTGAGTAATCTGAAAGTCTTCTTCCCACCTTATGGGAGTCTAGCAGTATCTTTATATGCAGCCCTTTTCTCCCATATAGAGTTTTTGCAGATCATGCAGTCAATTCTGACTGTTTTCCAGCATTAAAAGTCTCTTCTCCACTTTCAAACTTTAAAAAGGGATTCACAATCATGTGGCAGTATGATTAAAAATTACAGTCCATACACCTTGACAATCAAAAGAGACTGAATTATAAAAAGTAAACTGCCCTTATAGCTGCATCATCCTACATCTGTAAGGACAGTGTCAGTTAATTAGTGAAAAAGGCAAGTTCAAGGTTTCTGTAAAACATGTATTACAGCTTTCTTGTGCTAGTGAACATCTAGAATACACAAGTTCCCAAGATGTTTTCTTTCCCTCCTCCCCCATTTATACCATTCAAAGAAAACACATCATTTTGGCAAAGTTAAAAGGGTTTCTGTCTTGATGTTTTTGCCTTCAGCTTCATGTTAGAGGCACAAACTTCTGGACTTAAGCACTATAAGGCATAGTAGAAACCATCAATTAAAACAACAGCACCACCACCACCACAATGGAATATACTACAAGTGGGAACAGCTGTGTCATTTAAAAAGAAAATGTTTTTGTAAACTGTCACACTGCAATGCTGTGTTAGGTGATTCATGTAAAGCTTGCCTTGGCATGCTGAATATCTTTTTTTCCAGAACATGCTCAAATGATCTAAACACTGCCACAGGTTCAACTCACCTAAAAAATACCAGAAAATAGCCCAGTGGCACACACTCTTGAAAACTTTTGCAATCACAATGTAACTAGAAAGCGTGAGTAAACTTTTGTTTGGTTTTTATACAAAACTCCGAACCACATTTCCTGTTCCCCCACCCAATATCCTATAAGAAAAAAAAAAAAATTAAAAATGCCCAAACTTTTGTTAGACACCACTGTCTGGTGTGGCTTTTTGTTTGTTTGGGGTTTTTACCTCCCCCCCCTTTTTTTTTCTTTTTTTTTTCTTTTTTTTTTTGCTACAGTTCCATTTATAGCACTGAATCCAGCGTGGGCAATGTATTCCCAGGTTGAAAGAAGGGATATTATCAACAGCGGAACTGTGAAAACAGAAGCTCTGTTGAATTTATAGCAAGATCAAGACCAATTTTCTTAAACTGTACATAAGAAAGAGTCACTGTTCTGATCCCCTATTCAGAATGTCAGTGTTACTTTTAAATAAAATGCTTTTAACTCCTTAAAATTGTTTATTATAGTGACTTTTTGGTTGTTGTTGTTATTCATAAAGTTTCTGCAGTTTCTGAAAGACTAATTAATTGATCTGATGTTTTATATTTTATCATGGTATTTTTAGGGCAACAGCATACACACATTAGTACTTATATACAATGGTTTGAAATATCTATAAACTTACTTTTCCAATAAATCCTACCAGAAAAGTAGAAGTAACCTAATGTGAATCTGATAAATAAAAATTTAATTTATATTTAAAGCTTATGTTCCAATTAGAGATATAATGGCCTAAGTTCTCTAATAAGTTTGTTTTCTACAGCTGTATAAAGCCCTGACATTGTTTTGAATGTGAGTGACCTCCGTCTGGGTGTCTCCAATTTACTCCTTCTCAGGAATGTGGAAATGATTTTATACAGCACAATGCTAGTACCGCCCTGTACTATAGTATTTTGTTTTGTAAATAAAAACAACAAATCCCTAGTCAGAAATAAACTGACAAAATTTACATTCTTCTCTCTTAAAAAAGTAAATAAAATAACATTATTTAAAATGTGAATTAGCTATAAGACATACAATACAATTACATAGATACATATCAATACAGCACATTCAATTTGCCAAAAATTAATGATTACAAAGCCAATATGGATGCTGCCATATATATATATATATATGTATGTACAGTGATTATAGCATTCATAATTGCACTATACCTACAACCAGTTTTAAATTACACGGTGTTTTAAGAGGGAGCAAAAAATAGCAACTGTTCTTGTTATTGTTGTTTTGGAATTGAGAGGGTTAAGGATGAAAACCGTCTCATTAGTATTTATTGTTAACTTTGGTAATCAACTAATAAGCCATTCTTTTTTTCCACCTCCCATCTGCTGCTATGTGGCTGCAATTTCTGTGTTAAGTGCACTCTAGTGCTACTTAGCATTGCAGACAATAAATCCAATTATGAGTCTGAACTCCGAGTTTCCTAGAGCTTGCTAGCAATCATGCACCTGGTCAAAAAACACCTTTCAACCTGCAGAATAAAGGCTCATCTACGTGTGCTGCATTTTTGTTGTTAAAAAATCGCACGTTTAAATTTAAAGAATGATTTTCTCACTGCTTCATTTACATTTACAGATCTCTTCTAAAGAACGTTGAGAGAGGCTATTTTGCATGAAAGCTTATCAAATGCCTGTGAATTAGTTAACAAGCAACCTTATCAAGAAAGGTTCCTGAATATGATCTCTCATTAATACTTTTGTGTTATACAACTAAAGGTGCCTTGAAATTATTATGGAAAACAACCTCATGTCTTAACTGACAAAGGGGGAGATCTAAACTGTTTTTAAATCAGTAGACCACATGCATGTCATATTCATAGCATATTCACTTACATTGTTGGTTTTGGCATTAGAAAATGGAACACCTTCTAAAAAAGGGAACGCATGAGCTAAAACTGCATGTGTTAATCATTTGGCAGTTGACTCAATCAGGTCAGTTCCCAACCCCTCTGTTTGGCATTTCAATCAGTATCTTGTTTCAAGAGCACTGGTTTTATAAAAAGCCAGATTTGGCAACGTGAATTTTGTACAATAAAAATAATTTTTCTACTGTGGAAAAAGAACACTTAAAAAAGCTCTAACTTAAGAAAAACACACCACAAAACTGAGAAAAACAACACTGTTTCAGGCTGTAGCCACTGGGGAAACTGTAGTGTCTCACTTTTCTATTTGGCATCTGTAAATAAAAGGAGAGAGAAAAAATGGCACATGGCAACTAAAAAGAGATTCTAACATATTCCATGTACATCCAAAACTGCGTCTTAATTACTTCAGTATTGTCTTCTGTGCACCTTTCTGAACTGTAAAATTACGGATAAATTTAATATCCTTAGACAACTGTAATTCTACTTTGTAATCCCAATCTTCTAGTCTCAAAGTGAAGACAGAATGAAGACACCCATGCAAAGAATTTAAAAATCACAGTATCAATACTTTTTGATCCTTCAGAGAAAGTACATACTGTAAAATTACAATGACTGATGACTTAAATTGTGATGATACTATTTTCCTGACCAAATCACCCAACAGAAAATATTTCACCCAGGAATGCAACTGGGAAAAAAAAGGCCATTGTACCCTGTAAAACATAAGGGGGGAAGGAAAGGAGGGGGTGAGAAAGGGTTAGGAAAAGAGGAAACCAGCTTGATTTTGCTTCAGTAGCAAAAACCTGCTATCCTTTGTAAATGTATGACCGAGAATTTGAAACACATTGAGTCACAAGGTTTTGCCTAAAAAAATGAGGAAATGTGCTGTGAATGTACTTCAGCATCTTTTGTTTTTCCTCCATATAGTTTAAATAAAATCATAATATTAACTACAAACTCTGTGGACATTCACAGAGTCCAGGCCAGCAATAAATTAGTATTATGCAAATTGTTTTCACAGATTATAATACAGTCCCTCTTGCGTATCTTCAATCATGGAAAGCTGGTTTTGGAGGACCCCCCAGGCACAGTTAAACCAGGTTGTACTCCTTCAGGTTTAACTGTAGGATTGTGTCCTTGACAGCAGCGAAGACGAAGCGGATATTCTCTGTGTCTGTAGCACATGTGAAGTGAGAGTAGATAATTTTGTCACTATCTGGATTCAGGTCTACGAACATCTTCAGGATGAACTCTCGTGCCGCCTGTGCATCCCGCTGTGGTCCTGTAAGAAAAAAAATTCCATTTTCTTAAAAGTCAATTTCATATTTCAAGTTCTTTAAAAGAAAACAAGAAAGGCTCAGTCTGTGCTCCTCCTGTAAGAGAACATGGGGAATCTTTTACTAATCAATAATATCATATACTGGCTACTTTCTTTGTGGTAGGAACTATTAAAAATAAAGAAGGAAATTTCAGAAGTTCACCAACTCAGAGCTGATCTTTTCTTGCTAACTATCCTCATTCTTCACTAAGAGAAATCAGCTGTTTAAAACAAGTGATCTATAAATGAACAGAATGAAAACAAAAAAAATTAGCTATATTATTAAATCTTTAAAAATGCTAATAGAATTGGTGAATGTTCTAAACCTGCTATACCTAAATTAGACTTTAGTTATTTTAGCCTTGCAAGATTCACTAGTTTTATGTGTATTTTAATAAGAAGCGTAGTGAAGTTGTATGCTGGACTGGTCTGACACCGTTACCAACAGAACTTAATTTACTTTAAGGGATAATAAAATACACGTGCTCTCCAGCTAAAGCTGTTGATTGCAAAAGGCTCATGTTCTAACCGACTACTTGTTTTCTACATTATGTATGTTAATGATCCTATCAGATCTAAATTAAGGTTTTAACTCTCAGAAGGACAGAGAGTCAATGTAACCAAACTACATTTTCATCTTAAAAGAACACAGTAGGCAATGACTTCCAGCCTAGAACAGTGAGGATTCATTCATGTTCACAGCCACAAGAGCAGCGCAGACGCAAGAACACAAGCCACATGTTGCTGAATTCTGTTCCATTATTCCAGTGCTGCTTAGAGAAGCCACTGTTCCCTTGCTCTCCTGTTTCTGGAATGTGAGTTTCTACAGAACACACATTTTCTATACTCTTGCCTCCTCCTATTCTCTTCATTAGTCCTGTTGTTACATGGCAATATAAATACCAGCAGCCAACTGTTATGGGTGGATCTGTCCTTCAGTAATTATGAAATCTGTACTTTGTGGGTCAGCGTATGTCCACATATTTTTCAACAACTGGATAACAGAACTTATTTTTAATACTTCAAGTTTGTAATTGCTAATATTTCCAATGTGGGTAATTCTATAAAATTTAGGAAAAGAATGTATGGATGAGAAATCATGTACTTTCTTGAGTGCTGCAAATCCATGTGAAGGGGGTGTAAGATTCTGCACTATACAGGTGTATGTGCCGTGAACAGATGTACATATATACACATACAAACACAGATGACATCATCACTTCTACAGCTTCAAAAACACAACACTCTCTAGCCTTTCGCTTCTTTTCCTCCCAACTATAGCCACTCCTCTCTCCCTCTCTGTGGTGGGGGGAAACAGTTTTCCCCCTGAAGTTATAAAATGGTAAAATCCCAGGGGGTGGTGACCCTTGAAGTTTTGAGGTTTTACCCAATGAGCGCTTCTGCAAAATATAAACATATCACAAGCAGAACGGAAGAGAAGGTAGTTGTTGTAGTTGTTGTGGGAGAAGTGGCCACGTTGTAAAGCCACGAGGAGTGAGGGCAGGAGCCCCCCTGGGGGGCTCTGGCCCCCCCAGCCCCCGGCTGGGGCTGCAGGGACTTGGAACAGTGTTAAGCTGGACTACGTATCTGTAGCTATAAGCCGGGGGGATGTTTCTCCACTGTGAGCTGCAGCAAGAGATACTGAAAAGCGGCAGCAGAACTGCACTGACCGAAGAAATGGTGGCAGAGAGCCAGAAGAGACAGGACCAAGCGGCAACAACAGGCAGGCAGCAACACAGAGAATTCCCGGAAGGAGAAAGAGAACGACAGCCAGCAGCAGAGAAAGAACTGAGTTCTACAGAGGAAGTTTGGGTAAGAACTGAAACTAAAACCCCAAACTCCTTGGAGACCTCTGAGAAAGGAGGAGGATGATGGACTCTTACTTGAAAGAGTCTTAAAGTGCTACAGCACTGCAGAAAGGAGCTAAAAAGCTCTGAGAAAGAATGCAGAGGGGGTGACCTTGCCCCTCCCTCGTTGCTGCTGCCAAGCTGGCAGCCTGAGACAGAGCACAGGAGCTCTGGTGGAACTCTTGAGGCAAAGGCCTTCAACTGAAAGCTGCCCGAGATGTTCTGACTCAGGGGTGAATCCCCCGAAGAAGGGACCTTCATGGAGGTCTTACGCCCCATGATATGACCGTGGTGAAGCAAGTTTTGTCCCTGCTGGCAGTCCTAGGGTGAGAAGACCCTCGCTTGAAGACGACGGGCCAAGGGGCTTGGATACCCCTCGTGTGTACTGGCAGAGATCCAGATACAGATGCTGCTGCATGAGAAGAAGGGAACCTGCTGCCTTAGAGACATTGCTGCTCTGAGAGTAGAAAAGGATCTTTTCCTTCTTCCCTCATGGACTTTTATTTGCAAGGGAGAAGAGATTTGATCCCTTGTAAATACTTATGTCATGGTAGAGATAATTAAGATTGTATATAATGTATTGTAGTATTTATTTGTACAGTCATTATAATATATTCCCTTTCCCCCATTTTGAGTCTTGTGTGGTGTCTGGAAACCATCTCACACTGGATTGAGATGTGGGAGGAGGCTAGGACTAGGGAATTGGATTTTTGGGGCTCTCAATCCATGACACTCTCCCAGCTCTTCATTCCAGTCTTTGAGTCAGTTTTCTAGTAATAGCCATACAAGGATGTCTTCATGCAATCCACAGACCCATGAGCATGCATCGGGTCCTCCTTCCAATGCACTGTGCTCGATTAGCTAATCGAGCTAACTGATTAGCTTGATTTAATTCATGCAATTTGGCATCCTGGCCAGCAGTTCTCATCCCTATGCTACCTTCTCTTTTGTGCAGAAAAACAGATGAGAGAATTGATCCAGCTGAAAAATACCTAATTCTGATACCTTCCCACATCCTCAGTGTGCTGGACAGAAGATGAGACCACATGGTGACCTCTGTAAGCCACAGACCTCACTCTGTCACTGGAAGTAATCAAATCAAACCATAGCCTTGCCTCTGGAGTTAAGTCCTGAAAGATCTGCAGAATTAAGAGACAACGACTCTTGAAGACTTCCAGGTCTTGACTCCAACAACCCTGTACCAGTCCATAATCTTTTTTCCCCTTCATTAATGGCAAAGGACAGGGGAAACAGACTTTCTATGAGCTGAGCCACTGAGTTCTGTCTCGGTTTTTTTTCTGGACAAGAATTTGTTAATACCTGAGTGGTGATAACTGCTGAGCAGATTGTAGGGTCTTTTCACCTTCCGGATGCCATCTAGGGAACTTGTCACACTAATTAAATTCCAAAGAACAAGCATATTTCTATTCAACTGCTAGTTTTCTTCTGTATAGTACCATGAAACTAAATTTTCACTGACTCACAAATAATATGGTCTGATCGATCCTGAAGGTTGTTGATTGTTCCCTTCCCCTTTAACAGAACAGAAAATGTACATTTTTCCTGTTATTACTTTCCATATTTGTACATGAGAGTTTTAATCTTTTTCTCAGCTTCCCAATCAGCTACTCACTTCCTGGTGGGATGAAATCAATTTTCTTTTTTGAAAAATAGGAACACTTAGTTCTCTAGACCTCTTTTATTACATGAGTTTGATTTTTCTCTGTTACCAAGGCCTCTTTCACTCAAGTTACCTCAAAATGCTTAGTTTTCCTCTCAGAAGAACTTTCTGAAAGCACAGCTTTAGTAAAAACACTTATACAACACACAATTCTTTTTATGGACAAGCACATTAAGCTTCACATAATTAATGTCAAATTAAAATAAACTAAAAGGTACAATGAAAGGGTATAAGGGGTGGCACTTGTTTCTCTGAGTGTTACAGACAGTTTATGACACTTCCCCTTAGGTATTCAATCTTACAAAAAACCAAACCTCAAAAACCCAAAAGTATGAACAACTACGTGTACAACTGAGGAATGCATTTTATTTATTTTTAATGTTTGCACTTCAATTTAAACTCTCCCCCAATTTACGAAAAAGGACAGAATGCGTTTCACTATAATTTCCCACTAAAGGTTCTGCCATGCTACCCACAACTAATTACAGAATAAAATGAAAATCTAGCAGTCTAAAAATCAACAACAGTTCCATCACATTTTACTTTTTTTTTTCTTGAAGGAGTAAAATATATCCAAGGATCTATCTATCTAGCATTTGGACATAGCTACTACAGTTTGCCATTGCTGCAGTGTAAACAGAGCATGAACTCTGATGTCATTATACTTACCATCATACTCTGGAAAATAATCAACTAGATGGGAGTACATAATTTTCTCCTCTAATAGATCTTTTTTATTTAAGAACAGAATAACTGAAGAATTCTGGAACCATGGATATGTGATAATTGTCCTAAAGAGTGCTTTGCTTTCTTCCATTCGATTCTGGAATAAAAAGAAGAGCAGAATTTTGGTGGTCGTGAATTTATTTTTTTAATAATTTCATGCATTTTCACTTTATTTGGTAAAAGGATCCATTTCATTAAATATCCAAGCATTTTCCTTCTGCAAATTCAACTCCTGAAGCATAAGTATTCTTTAAAACACTAGTCATGAACATGAAAGTTGTAATAGGTACATTTGTAAAGTCTGAGTATGCACTGGTGGTTATTGAAAAGTGATTAATGGTATGGACAAGTACAGCACCACAAGACATAATAATCAATTCAAGGTTTAATACATTATTTATTTTACATGCCTTTGAATATTCTGAGTGTAGAGTTGAGCAGTTCTTAGAGATCAGTCTTAAAATAACTGCAAGCAAATTTGGAACCTGAGAACATTCTGTCAATGTCAAAAGCTTATGACATAAATTTAAAAAAATTCTAATTTGCTAAAATTTGTTTCTAACATCATTGGATTAGCCTTTAATTCTTTAACTGCTCCTGAAACCACTTTTCACTGTAGCTGTAATGTCAGTAAAGCTGACTCTATCTGTAATATTCTTCTGTCATTGTAAAATACGTTACAATTTGATTAGTTCTGAAGAACTTAAGCTGACATGACATGGTTAATACAGAGTCATAACAAATATGGTTCAAAACACAGGAACTAACTTACTTTTTTCATTATTATTATTTAAAGCTGCAGCACCCTGAAAAAGCCTGTTTCACCACTGAATGGGGCTTCAGAGAATGGCAAGGTGAATCCTGCAGATTCTGCTGTTGCTGAGCCACACAACAGATAACTCTGACAGTTTTACCATAACTGTATCTTTACTGCCATGAATTTGCATTTTAGAGAGGCAAACATAAACATGAACAGGAACTTAAAAACACAAACAAACTTAAAACAACAAAACAAAACAAAAAACAAACTGCAAACCAATTCCATTTTGTAGTAAAAATTGGTGATTTGGTCTCATATATTACCCCAGAATCCTTGTGTAATTTATTAAACTTTATTGCATGTTGTTGTGGTGAGTGAAAATAAATAGCTGAATTTATATATTAAGAAAGTAATGTGAGGAATAAAACATTTGCTTTCATGCACTCGGATCTCATGACTCATATCAATTTCAATGGTGCCAGGATTTCATTCTGCAAGGAGAAAAACTCAAATGTCAACACAGTTGAACATAAAACCTAAGTCCTTAGACTAATTGTTAATCAGACCATATTTTCTTCTCAAAGTTCTATGCAGACCTCTTCTCTAAACAAGATGTTACAGAAAGGCAATGGGAACTACCTAGTTTTGACTTTTATAACTTGATAAAAAAAAGAAGGCAATGTAAACTTACAAATTACTGATTAGATTATAAATATTTACCTAAACTTCTTAATTCTTGGTATCTTCTAATGTGACACTCAGAAGGTAAAACAGCATAGTGACTCAATTAGAAGTGTTCTTTCACAGTAAATTTATAAGCTATTTGTAACTTCTCAATAAGAAAAGTGCAAGGAAAAGACAAACTAATTACTTACCTAGACAAAATGTTCCTACTTTTCACCTTCCAAATAGACTGCAATATTTTCATCTACAATGCTGGTTTTTTCCCATATACACAACATAGAATTGCAAAGACAAAATAAATACATCTATTTGGATAAACTTACAACTCTTCCTCCAGCAAAGCTCAAGAAAACTGTGTTTTGCAAACACTGTTATTAGCCCCAGAGCACATTTTCATTTTTGATTTGAAAGGGATGCCAAACGAGATGAAGCAGAAAACGTATGCAGACTAAAGCTGCATTGACATCGTGCATAAAACAATTTCTGGCACCCAATCAGCTGAAAAACGAACTCTCTAATTGTTACGTATAACAAAAATACCAATAGACATACACAACCAAGACAAAAATACTTTGTCTTCAGTGTAAGATGAGTATGTCTTATATATTAATTATTAATTCTGTATAATATGAATTGAATTCTACAGCCACCTTTTTCTTATTATCAATCTATAAATGTCTCTCAAGCCCTTTCATGCTTAGTTTGAGGCATTTGACTTAAACGTCTCCTTGACAAAACATGTAGTAAAGATTTCACTCAAACAAGAGATCAGAGAAAAAGCAGGTTTTCATGGTTTCAAAAATAGTTCAATTAATTGACAACCGATCTGTGTTAAAAAAAAAAGATCCAAGAAAATAATCACAGCCTTGAGAAATTTACAGAAGTGATTGACATGTGTGGTCTAATACAACTGAAGGAAATGCTCAGTTATTTCAGAAAAGATATATAGTTGAGGATGTCAGTAACTAAAGTAAATAAAACATTACTAGATTATCCTGCCTCATTCACTCCACTGTATTCTTTAGTGCAGTAAAAGTTTCACTTCATACAGAAGCTACTTGCTTCCAGAAGCCAATTGTTCCAACTGTCATCCAGTTAACTATATTTCCAGGAAGAGCCAGGTTAAATCTGAATCTACTCCTGATTCTGGGAGAATAGGCTTTAAAGACTCAGCAGTAGCAGACTGTTACCCTTGCTAATTTTGTATTAAATTATCCACTCCTAAACAAAATTAACTGGAAGTCAGAGAACTGTAGAAATAATAAAAACCCGTATACTACATTGCCAGAGGCCACTGAAGTAGAATTATTTCTTAGGGTATAAGAATCATGCCCTATACAGCTATAACAGATTAGGATACTGGAAAAATAAAACTGCTGCCAGATGAAGAACTATTTGCTTAGCTGGTGGGGAAAATACAATGCTTATTCTTAAAAATCACTAGCCTATGGAACGGCACAATACTTATTTTTTAGGATCATGTTAAACATTAACCAAGAAGAGAAATGGGAGAGTAACCAGCCTAGGTACACTAACTTCCATATTTGGGAAGTACGACCAGTTCATTGTGCGGTCAGCTGTAACTTCTCAGTCTATGACCACCAGAGGGACTCCCGAGACATGTGCAAAGAGGAGGGAACATATGTTAATGATTTTGAGGAAATTATTATCATCAGTATTTTTCTTCTGGGAAAACCAATGAACATGTATGTAAAAAATGGTATATAAACAGGAGCTTTTCTATACTCGGTATGCACAAAACTTTTGGAAGTATTCCCTGTGCATCCAGCACCAAATAAAGAATACTGCTTTCTAATACTGAAATTGTATGTTAGAGAATTTACTTTTTTGACCATTTTTCTGTAACAAGACAGTGAAGTGTCTTGCACACCAAATGGTAGTTCAAACAAACAGTAATTATCTCAGTACAGGGATTATTTCAAAGTGTACATCACTACAAAATGGCCCTTACTGCACCTACATGACATGAACTGCAGGGATTACGACATTGGGAAGGCTGAAGACACAATTTCTAAGGAGCTGACAAAGGATGACAAGCTGTCTAAATCAGTGAAGAAACAGGTCACTCTCATTAAGATCCATAATTGACAGGTCTATGAATTTCCGTGATCCTTCTCAAGGAAGAGCCCACACTATGTTCTGCCTTTACAACAGAAGTATGGAAAAAAGAATTAGGCTATCACTGGTTATTTTCTCTGAATGTATGCCACATTGCAGCGCTCCACAAAGAAATATGCCTTCACAAAAGATGTATGTAATAAGACTGTAGTATTAGAAATTTAAAAGAAATCAGATTAGTATCAACATTCACTTTTAAGCAGTTCTTCCCAAGAGCCAAGCTTCTAAATTCTCTGCACTAAGATATTTGGACACCATTATCTGGAGAATAATGTTGCCTTTATGTCACCAGAAACCACTCATTATAAAATCAGAAACAGTAACTTACAGTTAAGCTCCAAAATCAGACTCTTCATGTAACAATACTACTATCCAATACACATTCAGGGCCTGGCTACCTGGATGGTTTCCAAATAAAGGCTAGGTCCATTAGAGGTAAAACCACTACAATTAGATGATGACAGTTACTATTTAAAACCAAAGAGAACATAGAGGGAATAATTATGTACTTACACATTAGAAGGGATGCTGCTGCACTGCTCATACAATTAAGCACCATACAACATTGAATAAGTAACAACCCCTCCTATAATTCGTTTAAATATAACCATCTGACAGTGACTATCACATATCTTGGAAGGCTTGGTTGGCAGAAAGGCATCTCTAAAGTTCACCTAGGTTAGTCTTTCACTTCAGTAGGTCTAATGATACATGGGAGCATGTCAGTCATGGCTTTGCCTTGGGAAGTCTTGAAAGCCTGTACAGACGGATTTCAGTAACTCTCTAATTTCCCTGTCCCCCTGCTAAATTAACATGCAAGGGAAAAATGTTTCCTAACATACAGCCTGAACTTCCCAAGACACAATCTAGTTATACTGTCCACCTCAAAAAATTCAGCTCCATGGCACTCCTGCAATTCCAAAATACTTATTGGCAAGTATTAGTGTCTTGCTCACTAGACTAAACAAGCTTAGGTCTCTCACCCCGTCTTCACAGGACATGGGCTCTGGACCTTTCATGCTTTTCTCAACAGATTATGTGACCACGAAATTGCATATATAAACCCTCTGCAAATTATTTCAAAATTGTGTTAAAGATGGTGAACTGACATTTTGATATTTTGTCATTCAGATGTGTACTCTGTAGATGTTTTGCAGGAACTGAAAGACGGCCTAGAAATTTTCAAGTAGATTTTATCTGCCTGAGCAGATGAAGCATCCAAAATCTCAACTGCTCTACAGGTTCTCGGTTCACCAAAACAGATCAAACATTCTAAGATGGTTTCGTTATTTCATTTTACTATGACTCATGGATTAAGCAAAAAATAAGAAGCAATTTATTTTTTGACTAATCAATCTCTGCTTAACCTTCTGCAGTCTTTATCTCTCTGTTTATCCAATTTGTTTGAGTCATTTATGGATGCCACTGCTGATAAAACAATTTTTGTTCAAAATTAATTCCTCCAACAATACTGCTTATTATCTTCTAAGGTTTCTCTTAAACTGATTTTCTGT